GACATAATTGCTTTATTTATTTATTTGTTTATTTGTTTGTTTATTTATTTATTTATTGTGGTGCTGATGATCAAATCCAGTGCCTCACACATGCCAGGCAGGTGCTCTACACTGACCCATAATCCTAGCCCTGTAATAAAGTCTTAATATTTATTTAAATGTAGTATAAAAATTTTAACAAATGCAGCTAACAGGAGAAATAAAGAAAAAGGTCTGGGGCTGGGGATGTGGCTCAGGCGGTAGCGCGCCCATCTGGCATGCGTGCGGCCCAGGTTCGATCCTCAGCACCACATACCAACAAAGATGTTGTGTCCGCCGAGAACTAGAAAATGTTTCTCTCTCTCTCTCTCTCTCTCCTCTCTCGCTCTCTCTTTAAAAAAAAAAAGAGAGAAAGAAAAAAGGTCTTCATTTTTATTACAAATTCTGTTTAATCCCTCACTTTCCAGGAATATTTTTAGTAGGTTTTAGGGCACAAAATTAAAGAAATTAACTCATAAGTAAAATGAAAGGTACTATATAAACAAATTCCTGTACTTCCACAGAAAAGTTTCAAAAACCTAAAACTTCAATATTTTAGAAAACAAATATGATTACATAATTAGCAACAATAAGATACCAGAAGGAAAAGTCCAGGAAAACCTCATTGATTTAGCCCAATAATGAAGACTCACTAATTTCAAGTCTGCCTTGATTTAATTTCAGACTATGTATTAAGAAATATTTGCTAGGGGCTGAGGTTGTGGCTCAGCAGTAGAGTGCTTGCCTCGCATATCAGGACCCTGGGTTAAATACTCAGCACCACATATAAATCAATAAAATAAAGGTATTGTATCGAACTACAACTAAAAAATAAATATTAAAAAAGATACAATTGTTAGGCAAAATAAAGTACAAATAAATCTTGTTAGAGTATTATTTAATTGATTTTAAAAGTTTCACATGCAAAAGACTTTTGCAAAAATAATAATTAAAACAAGTTACATGTATTCTTTAGAATCCTGTATTCTAATAGAAATATTAGAATAAAGTATATAAAATATAGACTAAAATACTGCTTAAATCTATTAAATCATTAATTGTTCCATTTCTCTGTTTACTTTGGCTGTGAAAAACTGGTTTAGGAGTCAGAAAAACTTCACAGGCAAGTCTCAGACAGAACTTATTAATTCTACTCAAAGTCTCTCAATCTAATTTTCTGCTTTTATTTTAAAAAATGTGAACCATACAATTATATTTACTTTATTTTGGGGGGCATTTACTTTATCATTATTTTTAAACAACATATTGTAAAAATATTGTCATGTCTCTACTGAAAAACATAAACAGATCTTAAACAGGATCCAGCAGCATACTCAGTTTAAATACTTACTCTGCCCTTTAAAAAAAAATATTTAAAATACAGGACTTATGGGATTCTAAAAATTAAATAAAATAGAGTCCACATCAAAATTTGAAATAAAGTACCATTGAATATTATGGCAGCAAGTTCCATACAGTTATGCACATCTAAATTTAAAAGAAGTCATGTTAGTAATCTATAAATTAAAATGTATACTATTCTCTTTTGCATCTTTAAATAATAATGATAATATTCATCAACCATTGGGAGGTTGAGGCTGAGGCAGGAGGGTCCTACATTCAAGGCCAGTCTTAGGAACTTAGTGAGGCCCTAAGCAAGTTAGCAAGATCCTGTCTAAAAATTTTTAAAAAATAAAGAAAAGGGCTGGGGATGTGTTTCAGTGGTAAAGTGCCTCTAGATTCAATCCCCAGTACCAAAAAATTAATCAAAGAAGTAAATAATGATTTAGATGTCTGTGGATGCCTACCATTTTGGTAGGTATTCAGTGCTGAATGAAAACTGGTGAATAAATCGCCAGTTGGTCCAAATTGTCCAAGCCTTGGGTTATTCAGTAAACAATGTTAATTGAAGTGAAAAGAAAAGCACTCTCAGGAAAGGCAATCTAGATGTACTTTATATATAAAAGACAGTTCAAAGAATAAACAGTGGGTCAATGATAAAGTTGTGAATCTGCTTCATGTGAGGCCACCTTTATATGTAACTCTTATTTGATTGAAATAAAATCTAAAGCAAACATAAAATTAAAAATTATATTTAAATCAGGAAGTGATAAAATCTTTGGACAGAAGAGATACACATAGTTTTAGACATGACTGCATAATCATATAGTTTACATAACTCATAAAAACTATATTATCACCCAATTATGGAAATAATATTCTGTATGTTATTCAGCCATTGGTACCCATGTTTGAAAATTGTTAAGAAATTTATTTTGAAAGATACTTTAGGTTTTCCTTCAGGTGAATAAAAAACAAAAGTACTGCTCTTTGCAGAAGAAAACATGCTGTATTCAAAACAATTATAGCTGGTTGATCAAGTTTTCAAATATTACTTTTAATATTTGCTTTTTAGGTGTTTTTTTTTTTCACAGTGGACACAATCCTTTTATTTTATTTTTATGTGGTGCTGAGGATTGAATCCAGTGCCTCATACAGTCCAGGCTAGTCTACTGCCACTTGAGCCACATCCCCAATCCTCATGTTTTCAAATATTAACAATGAGTTAAAATCAAGGCAAAAAACCTAAAAAATACTCAATATATTTAAATATTTTCATCACATTAAATGCCTAAGAATATCTGACATATAAGAATCACTAGTATGTTCTTAAGGAAGAGAACTTTTTATGTTAATAAGAATATTGAATGAAAGAAATCTTTGAATAACACAAGTTTTCCTTAATAGTTTACAGTGGAACACACCTATAATCCCAGAAAATCAGGAGACTGAGGCAGGAGGATCACAAGTTCAAGGATAGCCTCAGCAACTTATGGAGGCCCTGTCTCAAAATTAAAAAAAATAATAATAAAATGTGCTGGGGATCTAATTTACTAGTGAAGTTTCTCTGGGTTCGATCCCCAGTACCAATAAAACACCTGTTATCTCAAAAATGTACTTTTTTTCCCTATTGGATTAGCAAAGATCAAAAAGATTAACAAAACTTGGTGTGAGCAAGTGTTTTGAAAATAGGATTCTCATGGACATTGAGGGGGACATTTTTTTACAGATAACAGCTTAGCTATATTTATCAATATTAAAAATGTATATAGTCTTTGACCTGGCAGTTATACCTCTAAGAAGATAAGTGAATAAGTATACTATAATCAATATACCATTATTAACAAGAAAGAAAAACAAGTAATAATCTAAATGGTTATGAAAGGAGTAGCTAGATAAAGTTTGATGCCTCTAAATAACAGAAAACTAGGCAGGCAGGGCTGGGTTGTAGCTCAGTGGTAGAGTAATTTCCTGGCATGTGTGAAGAACAGGGTTTGATACTCAACACTGCATATATAAAGATCTATTGAAAACTAAAAAAAATAAATAAAAAAAAAACTAGGCAGCCAGTAAAATGATCACCCATGATTATGCACATCAGGTTCAAGTCACATATATATATATAACACTATAAAAATGACCACATAGCTTCATATATATAGAGAGACTGCTGTGTATTTAAAGTCTTATATATACTTTCATATGGATCAATAAGTTTCCAAAAGTGAATTAATGGTGGCCATTTCTTTGTGCAGGAGTTGAGAACTTACTTTTGTCATTATTTTGTTTTATATGGGTAATTTTTTTTCTAATTATTATAATAAAAAATCACAACAAACTTTTAAGAGAAAGAAGTGTCTCTATATCACCAAAATTACTTCAAATCTTTTCATCTTCCTATTTAAGAAGAAAGAATTCATTGAATGTTGCAAGTAAATGTAATACAGGATCTCCTTCTCAGAACCACATTTTAAAATGACAAGATAATAGAAATTAAAATATTAGAGTCAAAAAGATAGGGAAAGACAAACATCATTATTCAAACAGCCCACATTATTGGCATCCACCTTACTACCCAGAGGTTGTATGAACTCAAACACTCCTAAAACAATATCCCTTTTACACGTTAAGCATCCTTGTATTTCAGCATCCACAAAGGGGTCCTCAATCCAATCCTCTATGAATAATGAGGAGCAACTGTACTTGTGGGAGTTTAAAATGGTGCAACACCTAAGAAAGGAAGCATTTAACTAAATTATAAATGCACTGACCACTGGCACAGTGATCCCACTTCTAGGAATGTATCCCACAGATGTACTTGCACATTTATAAAATGATATGTATACAAGCTGTTTCACCATAGTATGGTCTGTGATAAACCTAGAAACAACCCAAACACTCATGGGGGGAGGGCTCGATAAGTGAACAAGGCACTTAATAGACACTGTTTAAACACAGCTGTTTTTTTAAAAAAGTGTTTCCTATAAACAAATATTATATTATTTCTAAATAAATACTAATAGGAAAAATCTGAAGAGCATATAAAGAAAAAACAATAGGATAGAATTACTTAAATAGTACACCACATTTTATATAAAAAGAATATAGTACACTGGCATTTCTCCTACTATAAAAGGATACAATTGACATCTATGGGAAATAAATTAAAGGTGGTTATCTAAGAAAGAGGGGTGAAAGGGGGGCCAAAGTAGTTGGAAATCACATTTTCCCAAGCATGCCTGTGTCATTTTAATTTTTGAACCATAAGAACATGTTATCTACATTAAAAGAATTTTTAAACATTAAAAAGAATACTTACAGAAAGAAAAGAAAGAGACACCCATAGAGAAGACTTAAAAGTAAGGCTTAAAGAGATTTTTTGCTCTGAAATTAGATACTGAAAAGCAATCTTGGTGTGGTCAATACAAAAAAAATGCTTTTTTCCCCTTCAATCAAGTTAAAGAATATGATAATCTGTTTTTAAAAAAGCTATTTAAATGAGTAAGAAATTTGGAAAGGGGAGAAAAATGTACAATGAGGACACTCTAATATAATGGTTCTCCAAGTATGGTCCCTGTACCAGCAGCATCAGCAGCATGTGATAACTTGTTAAAATTAAAATTCTCAGGCTCCCACCCAGACTACTGAATCACAAACTTTTTACTAGTCCAGTAATCCTGGTGATATTCACACATGTGAGAGTCACAAATCTTGTCTGGTGCTTCCCACAGGTTCACATACACCACCAGTCTGCATTTCAAACAAGCTCCAGGACCTAGGATCACACTTGGATAAACAAAGTGAAGTCCTCCTGGGGGAAAAAGGTATGTAACCTTCATATGGTTGAGTTTTCTATGAAATCTGTCCTCAGTATCAGATGAAAAAAGTCCCTATACAGGCTTCTTAGCCAAGAGATATCATGGATCTAATTTCTTACATAAACTGGGTACACAGAGAATAAATGTTTTCAAACAAATTCTTATAAAAATAATAACATCTATGAATCATCAAAATTCAACCTACGGATGTCTCACTTGAAAAAACTTATAAGTGGACCTACAAACTTTCAGAAATAGGGCAAAGAAACAAAAATAACCCATATTCCATAAATTCTGCCTGTGTTGTGTGAACAACTTAACCTCAAATGCATTAATTGCCCACCATGTGCTTTCATGGAAAAGCACCAAGTAGTTTGTTTCCCTCAAACCCTTTTCAAAAAATTGTCCTCATGTTGATGAGTACTGGTCTTCCATTTGTTTTACACAAGGAGAAAGATCTGTATAGGAATCTTCTGAATAAAAAAATGTAGATTAGCAGAGCGAAGCTTTGGGGCATTGGCGCCGCAGTGGCCAGGAGATTCGGACCGAGCTTGAGCCCTCCCTGAGCCCCAGAGCTGCCCCAGACTCCCACCCCGGCTCACCGAAGCGCTCCTCCATCTGTCCCCAGCCCTGCCTCCCAGCCCCAGGACCCGCGCCTTGAGCCCCTCCCCCCACCTTCCTCTTCCCTGCACAGCCTGCCACCAACCAGCTGGCCACCATGTTGGTGGAGCTGGAGGAGGGCCTGCCGCTCCTGAGTGCCAAGGGGGCCATGGGGAGGGCGCAAAGGCATGGGGGGGGGGGAGGGCAGCGACAAGGGCCGTGGTGGCCCCAAGCATAAAAGCAGCCACAAGAAGAACCAGCCGGGCAAGTACAGTCAGCTTTTGGTGGAGACATCCGCAGGCTGGGCGAGCAGAAGTTTGTCGCTGGTGGGCATCTATGCAGAGGCCAGGAAGATGGCGAGGTTCGACCAGCAGAACAGCTGCACCTACCTCAAGTACTTTGTGCAAGCTGGTGCAGAATGACTTGCTACTGCAGGTCAAGGGCACAGGCGCCACCGGCTCCTTCAAGCTCAATTGCCAAAAGCAGACGGCCAGCTAAAGGTGCACAAAACTAGAAGCAGGCAGCTTGGCGCCACTGCGGACCCCTGATCCACTAAGGGCGCCACAGCCGACAAGCACGCACCCCGGAAGGCCGCTGCCACGGAGGACAAGGGCAGCAGCAGCAGCAGCAAGGCCAAGAAGGCAGTGGCTGGGAGCAAGAAGTTGAAGAAGGCAGCCAAGCCCAGTGTCCCCAAGGTGCCCAAGGGCTGCAGGTGAGCGCCCAGGCCCCACAGGCGACAACGTGAAGGGGGACTGTCCCTGCCTGGCCACAACCTCCCCTCCCCTCCCCTCCCCCACGCGCTACTCTGACCTCCCCTCCCCCAAGCACTGCAGGGATATTTTTGAAACAGCCTGGGTGATGCCCTGATTGGCTCTTGCCCTTAGCAATGGCCATCGCCATGGTTACTTCCCCACCCAGCAGCCAATGGGCAGGGCCCTGGTTTGCTAGCTGTCTTCAGCCTCCAGGCCTGGCCCACTCTCTCTCCCCACCTCTGGGCTCACAACAGTTGCTCAGGGTGCAGGGCAGCGCACTGCTCCCCTCCCTCCCCCAAGCCACAATAAAACATTCTTGACCTTTGCAAAAAAAAAAAAAAAAAAGATTCTAGTTTAGAAAGAAAGATTTAGAAGTGGAACTTGGTGGCACATGCCTGTAATCTCAGCAGCTCTGGAGGTTGAAACAAGACTCTCTCAAATTGAAAGCCAGCCTCAAGGAGTGTGAGGCACTAAGCAACTCAGTGAGACCCTGTCTCTAAATAAAATATAAAATAGGGCTGGGGATGTGGCTCTGTGGCTTAGTGCCCCTGATTTCAATCCCTGGTACTCACCCCCCTCCAAAAAAAAAGGATATAGAAATCTGTAACTTCTTTTTGCAAGTCACCTTTGAATAGTTTTGTGTGACCAATGTGCTGACATTTTATATATTTCCTATTTCATTGACTCTGAAATGCCATCACCTTTAAGACACTTAAAACATTCTTATTCTATGTACAACTGGGAAAAAAAATTGCCATGTGGTTACAACATGCCAATTTTAAGAATCCATCGATCTCAGATGTGCATCTTAAAAATCAATGAAATGCCTTACAGAGTTGAATTGTATCAAAACAAAGCTAAGTGGGGCTGGTTTCCTGGCTCAGTGATAGAGCACTTACCTAGCATGTGTGAGGTCCCGGTTTCGATCCTCAGCATCACATTAGATAAATAAGTAAACGTATTGTGTTCATCCACAACTTATAAATTAAAAAAAAAAAAAACAACAGGCTAAGTGTTCTGTCTTGCTCCCCAAGTTTCAGTGGTGCAAAAAGTCACAGAATCCAGAGAAGACTTATCTTTAAAAGAGACTCAGGGAAGAAGCAGGCAGACTCTGTGCAAGCAGGAAGAAGTTGACAGCTGAGGAGGCTCCCACGCCTGGCTCTGGGGACTTTCTAGAGGTAAGAGCAGGAACACAGCACCTGGGGCCTCCTAGTCCACCCCCTCGCCTGGGCACCGTGCCGGCGACTGGCTGGGTACCCCTGTCAGCTGGACTACAGCCACCAAGACAGGACAGGTTTCTGGAGGGTTTCTCAAGGTCACTAGTCCTGGTGAGGGCACTGTCCCCCTCTCGGTCTTTCTTCTTCTACCATGCTCCGGTGTAGGGTCGGGCACCAGGCGAGCAGGTGGCCTCCAGATTTGGAGCTCGCACATGCCAGGGCGGGAGGACCCGCCCCCAGGGCAGCAGAACCTGGCAGCAGTGGAGGTCCGAGCTCCAAGGCCACCTCTGTGGCGAGGGAGAGAGGCTAGTGGCGACTGCGGGCTGCACTCCTGAGTTCTGTGCACCAGGCCTTGTCCCCGGATCTCTGGGCTTCGGAGGCTGCAGGGCTCCGTGGTGGTCTCCAATGCTCTTTTCTAGGGCTATTCTCTGTCGCTCTCCATCACTGTGAAGAGACTATCTTCTGAAACTGCATTCCTGGGGGCTGTGTGTGCCCCCTGCTGTGTGCCCTTGAGTCCAGGCAGCCTGGCTTCCAGATAGGACTGGAGCGCACCATATACTCCATGACCCTGAAAAGTGCCTCATTGGGGAAACTCGACTCCAGTGTGGAGCTCCTGGGCGCCTGAAGGGATCTCAGGGCCATACGAGTTGGGGCCAGCCTGTAGAATGTGGGTCTCAGGAGGAGTTTGTGGCCTGTAGGCGAGGCGACAGCAAAGAAGACCCCCCAGTTTACCCTCTAGACTGGCCAGCAGGCACTGTCAGGTAGGGACACCTGAGGCTACCCATGGGAGATCAAATGGATGAAAACAAAACCTCCATTCTTGGGATGGCAGGGCCTAAGGGTGGGGCATTTTCTAAAAGATATGAAGAGATGGAAAATGGCCAAAACTTGTATATTTTAAAGTTGAAATGAAGCTTGCAAAATTTAGGGACTGTATAGTTTTGTACCTAGTGCCTAAATAAATATTAGGTTATTGACTCCCTTCTATCCTTTTAGTTTTAGTTTTTATTTTATTTTAGCAAAGTATCTGTTTGCCAACATTTTCCTCAGGAGATGTGCATTACTCACAGCAGGTAAGACAAACTTAAAATTCTCAGGTTGCTTTTGATTTAAAGTCTGGGCTCTTGCACTTCTAAATGTAAAGGAAAATAATTTCTTGCTGTATTTTTCATGTGTAATTCCTTTCCTTATTCTCAAGGACCTAGTGATATTTATTTATTGGTTTCATAAACATCTATTTAAATGTAGTTTTTGTCTGAAATACTCCCAGTTGCCACAGGGTGTAGTTTGGGAATTAGAAAATGCTGTTGGAGAAAGCTGCTAGTGACTTCATTTTCCAAGAAAGTAAGTCATTTCCTTTCTGTGATTTCAGGGAGTTGATATTTCACAGAAGCAGAACTTTGTGGGGAAAATTTTCTGTAATGCATCTGTCATTAAAAAGGGTTTTGTATTTCCTTCCTAAGAGCAGTGCATAAATTTAAGCCAAGCAAAGTTAAAGGATAAGAAAATTTTCAGCATTCAGAGCATTATACGACTACTGCATTTTAACAACCAAGACCTACAAATGGTCTGCAGGATGTAGAGTGGGGGAGGGGAGAAGACCAGAAAAGGGCAGGGAAACAGATGCCTTTGCTTTTGTCCTTTGTAGTATAAAACTTGTAGCACTTATCATTTTTTGGGATTTACTTTTGGGAAATAAAATGATTATTAAAAGGAAATACTTCACAATATGAGACAAGTGACATTTGAATGCCTTTTGAGTATGTTTGGAAACATTGGATTTATATTTTATATTAAAATGGGACTTTTGATAGGATTATTAGATTTAAATGATGCTTGAGGGGATATCTCATATCAGGTTATCTGCAGGATATCTTCTTCAGAATGCAGACTGGCTATAATATGAACTAACCCACCCTGCCATATCCCCATTTGAATTGCTTATAAGAATCCCTGAGATTTGATATTGATAGGACACAGTAATCAGCAATTCTTGCAGTGCTCAAAACATTTTAGGGGACAGTAAATCTTTCTCTATATCCAGTTTGTCGTTTTGGTGGGTATCAATCTTACCGCTGTTGACAGGTGACAAATTCTTGCTTCCCCAATGTTGAAGAATAACACCAAAGAAGCATGCCGAAGCAAGGTCAGAGTAGAAATTAGAAATTTATTAAAGGACAGCAGAAAAGACTTCTCCAGGAGGAAGAAGGGGACCCAAGAGCTGGAATCCATGGAAGGGCTGTTGTCTTCCCTTTTTATAGTTCTTTCAGTGATGGAATGTAGGTGGGAAGGCCCAAGGGGTGGGACACATGTGGGTCAAAGAAGTAGTCTGAGCAGGAAGGACTTCATTAACACTTCTTTGGGATGGGCTGTCTTCAAATCTGCTGGGGCTGTTCATTAACATTCCTTTGGGATGGACTTTGGGCCTAGGGCTTTTCTTGGGACTTCATTAACATTCCATGAGTTGCCCTGCATTTCCTGGAATTCATTCAACATGACCTCCATTTTAGATTTCACTTGGTATTAGACCCGATTTACCTAATTACACTGACTACCTAACTTTAAATCTGGATTCATCAGAAGTAAATACACAATTTGAATTTTCAAATTTAAGATGCCACTATTTATACAGGAAAATTCCTGAAAACAACATGGGCTAAGATAAAGACACTGCTCTTGAAAACAAATTCCAGGGTTCCAGGTAACAGTTTTTAGCTACAAGTCTCTTAAAAATTATCATTAGACTTGGCTAACTGAATTAGAGGTGAATTAGAGCTTTTTATAGATTCTGGATCCTGTTTCCGCCTTTAACTATGTTTATAAAGCTTTTGGATTTAACAGCTTCAGACATAATAGACTGTGTACCCTTTTGTGGCATATACTTAGAATGAGAGTTTCAATCAGAATTGTTTTTGACTGATTTGTCAGTTTTAGAGTTTAATGCAAATGAATCCTGTCTCCCAACTAACTTTTTTGATAAAGGAATTCTTTTTGTGGTTTTCAACTTGAATATTGAGCATTTTAATTTCTAAAGATCTGTTTCTTTTTTTTTTTTAATAAAACCTGCAAACAATTATTTTATTACATGGAAGCCAGTACCAAGAAAAGATTAATTTAAACCATATGTAAAAATGTATGAGAATTTTAAATTTGGATGATCTCAACAAGTTTTATTTTTGTTGATGAGGCTGCCTGGATCCTAGATGGCACTCCCAAATTATCCCTTAGGTTGTATTCTGAATTGATAACCAAATTCATGGGCATTCTCTAAAAGCATTTTACCATAGTATTAAGTCTTTAAAAGGTAGAAAGTGGAGATGATTTTTTTCTATTATTCATTAACACATACTTCATAATGCTCTAGTTTGGTACATGAAGCCTTTTTCTCATGTGGGAAAATGGGTTATTTAATATTTTGTATCCTTGTGAGCAAAGTATAGAGACTTTCTTTTTTATTTGTGCACTTTCAACTTTTTTCTTTTACAGAAAAACAATAGTTTTAGTCTTCATTGGAATTCTGATGCAATGCAGTTTTTAGTTTCAGGTGAAGCAATTGGTTCATATATGAAGGCCCTCAATCCTCTATGGCCTTCTTACCCCTGAAAACAAACAACAAACACAACTTATAAGAAAACTTCAATGTATTTTTTAATCTGTATCCTTAACATTGGAATTTTAAATGGTATTTGTGGCATACTTACAGTTATATATTTTTAGGAAGTCTTTGTATGATTTTATATATATAAATTACACATTTTGAGAGTTTGCTACATTGTGATTGTGTGTAAAACAGAAGGAGGAATAGGAGAAATGTAGGGAAGGAATTTATGATAATGGAATTTTAGTTAAAATATATTCTTCCTAAACCTAAGCAAGAAAAATGGTATTGTGGTCCTCTCTTGCTAAACTTCAATTTTGGGGGTAGTTTTTTTAAATTGTACCTTATCCTAAGGTAAAGACTTTGGGGAGGCTACAACAATAAATAAAAACAAGTTAAAGAGATAATTTGAGATGAAAGAGGAAGTAGAATACTGGGCATTTGGTTGCAAAAAAAATAAATAAATAAACTTAAAAGGATAAGTATTTTAAGCAAGGCTGAGTCAGGGAGAACTTTGAATTTAGATGTGGAAATTAAATTAGTTGAGAAAAAGGACTAAATTATTGGAATTGAGCTGCCTATAAGCATGGAATATGTCTGCTGGTTAATATTTGCCTTGGAAACATTGTCTGCCTCAGTATTGTGTTGAAACACTAGTTTGATGTTAAATAATGTACAGAGATTCGGTGCTTCTTTCTGTCCCCTATGTCTACCAAAATCCTGTTTCTGTTTCAAAGATTAGGAACATATTTTGTCTAAGAGCTAATGAGGAAATAAATACAAATATTTAATTAGTCCTCCAGAACTTAAGGAAACTGCCAGTGCTTCTCTATTATGCTGTGGGACCAAAGGGACTCTACAGCAGTAACAGCTGAAGTTATTATAAAGTTTTGAGTAAAAATGAGCAATATGTATTTCTCATAATCTAATGTAGTTTAGTGTATGATAATATCTGATGCAAGTTTGTATACTATCACTTTTTATATGAAAATATTGAGCAATCATGAAGTATACCATATTGATCAAAGATGGACTACAGAATACTGAAATGGCATAGAATTAATTGATCTGACAATTGGTCATTTACCTTATTAAGATAAAAAATCTTCTAAATAAATTCCCAGATGAACCCACTCTAGACGTAAGGAGAAGGCAGTGCTTTTCTGAATATACCTTTGAGTCTTATAGCATTTTCTTGAAAGAAAAGAAAGAGATTTTTAATAATTAGCATAGAAATGTTTTGTTACAAGAATGTACAATGTATATAAATGAGATTATATCAGTTACCCAGATTTGATACCTGCTGTACAATGTAAATTATAAATATTATACCAGTTACCCAGACTCAATACCTCCTTATTACACGTAATTTATATTTATTTTTGTTTTTTTCTATGCTTTGACTAATTCCCCAAGTAGATCATACCTCTTCTTATATATTTCCTTTTTTTTTTTAAGAGAGAGGGGGCAGAGAGAGAGAGAGAGATAGAGAGAGAGAATTTTAATATTTATTTTTTTTTTTTTAGTTCTCGGGGGACACAACATCTTTGATGGTATGTGGTGCGGAGGATCCATCCCAGGCCGAAAGCATGCCAGGCAAGTGCGCTACCACTGGAGCCACATCCCCAGCCCTGTATATTTACTTTTTGGTGAGGTCATATTTACTTGTCTTGAATTTTTCAGATATTAATTATACAGTTTTGAAAAATAAAATGATAAAAACCTTCACTGTTTTTAAAAAACATAAGATTCACATCATCCCAATAAAACGATATGCTCTTACATGCAAATTTTATTTCCAGAAAGATGTTACTGTAATGGGTATTTAACCATAATTTTATTTTGCTTGTCATCATGCAATATAATTTTAAATACAGCTGATTAACTATACAGTATCTGTGAGAGTCAGTAAGCATGTGTACTTCAGCAATGTGTTCTTTTGTATTGATGACTGTTTTTGTATTTTATGGATGCTCTACAAATTGTTTATATCAACATTCAAGAACTTTTGCGTCATTTCTTATTTTGAACCATTAGGACTACTGGGGGTCATCAATATTCTTTAATAAAAAACTATTCCACTCAGCTTCTTCTTTCCTTGTGTTTCAATGAAACTGTATTTTTTTTTACTGGATGCTATGAGGATTATAGTTTCCATCTTATCATTTTAATTTAATTAGAGTTAATATTATATGAGTTTACTAAATACAAAATAAAAACCTTAACAAAGACTGTTTATTTTATTGTATACTTTTTGCAACCATTATAAATGTTTATCTAGAAAAAAATAAAATAAATGTTTATCTAGAAATTATAGATAACAAAATACAGTGTATGGTTTTTGTACAAAACAATTATAGATTATTATACAACAAAGAAGAAAAAGTATTGATCATAAGATTGCTAACATATGCCAGCCACGGTGGTACACACCTATAAGTTTAGTGACTTTTGAGGTTGAGGCAGAAGGATTACAAGTCCAAATACTGCCTCTGTTACTTAGCAAAGATCTAAGCCATTCAGCAAAACTTTGTATCTAATAAAAATATAAAAAATGGCTGGGGAGCTCATGATGTGGTTTAGTGCTTACGTGTCCCTAGGCTAAGTCAATGCTATAAAAAAATCTATATTACATAATTTTGAAGTGTGGTAAAACTTTGATAATGATTTAAGATGTACAAAATTTACTAGTTAATACAGATAAACTATAATATATTATTAATGACATTTTTGCTACAATATTAGTAGATATGTTGTTTTTGGTAAATTTTCATTGTTATATGCCACATAGTTTAAAGTATAAAATTCCAATGTAATTATTTATAGGCTGAGACACCATACAAACAAAACATATATTACTTTTATACTTATTCTTTTATGTATTACAGAGTACTTTGCTCTAAGCTTTTTAAAGTTTAAGGAAATTGAATTCAAGTATGGTTTCACAGTCACTAAAAACTACTCAATAAAAAGTATAAAGTTCACTTAACAACCCTGGTGACAACTCTAAAATGTGTTAAAGTTGAAAAAAAAAAAAACAGTTTTATGTGGATAGACTGATTTTAAGTCTTGACTCTATTTTTTATCTACATTTGCATGTAAGAGAATATCGTTTTATCTTTCCTAAGTAACAGAGGCAGTATTTGGACTTGTAATCCATGACAACACACTTTAGAGAACATTCAGCCAGAAATTCATCACATTATACACATTAATCAGAATCCCAAGTGCATATGTTTTGTTGGCTTTTTCATTTTATCTATTTTTTTCTATTTTTAGTCATTTCAATTTTGGACCTTGAAAATATCTACTTTTCAAGCTCCATTATTTTGCATTTGGGGAAAGGACAAAATTAAGAAAGCAAGAGACCTAAAGAAGTTACTTTGTAAGTACCTTATTTTCACCATATTGAAAATATTGGTGCAAATCTCACAAACCTAGAATTCAGGGGGAAAAAAAAGACCACCAAACAAACACAAATACACCTACTCAGCAAAATAAATGAAAGAAATGTGAACCAACAAATTTTCTGTTTTCAATTAATTATAATAGAGAAGACATAAAGAAATCTGCAAATATTCAAAAATAAAAAGAACATCTTTGATCAGGAAGTTTGTCAGAATGAGTCCTACACTATGGAACACTGAAAACAATAAAATATATTCAAATTTATTTAATAACAAAATATTTTACAAAAAAATAAGTAATGAGAAGTTGTAAGAGGGATAGAGAGAATACTATCACATGTCACACCACATAGATGGCTGTAGGTAAAAAAAGAAAAATTAAAATACTGAAGAATTTGCCTAACCAAGCTGTTGCTGTTTCTGACAATATAACAGGCAGCTTTTAGTTATAATTTGCAGATATGTACACAACCTGGACAACCACTATTTATATTTGATACATAACACCTTAGAATGATTCAGTTTGTTTACATCATCAATTCAATGTGCACAAAATCCCTGGATTTTTATTGCTAATAGGGAAAATAATCACAAATATAGCAGCTTAAATAATCTAAATTCATTATTTTATATTTATGGATATTTTCATAATCATGAAACAGGAATAATATCAAAGTTAGCAAAGCCACACTCTTAGCAGAAGCTCTAGAAGATAATTATTTCAGCTATTAGTGACTACTATTTTTTTTTCCTGAGGTTACAAATGTTTTCCTTCTTTTTGTGGTGACACACCCTTCAAAAGTATAAAGAGAGACAACTATCTTCAAATATATAGAGAATATGGTGCGATCAAAACAGTTAAAACATTCAAACCACATATAATTTAAGAACCATACCAACATAGATGGCAGACCCTCCATTGAGCCAAAAGTACTTGACAGAATTATAAAAAAAGAAAATTTTATACAAAGTAGATAAAGAAAGAGAGGGGAAACTGAGCCAGTAAATGAAGCAAGACAAGTTAACAATCCAAAAATTGAGTGTGATGGATAAAAAGAATGGCATCATTCTTTTTATCCACTGTCTCCAAATGCAGAGCAGAGGACAGAGCCATGTCCAGAGTGCAGGCCTTATCTGTCATATTTTTGGAAGTCTGTAAACACTCCCAATTCCATAGAGCTTTGTATTATTCTAACTAATACCATATTCAGACGTTCTGCCTGTCCTTGATCATCCTCATACAATAAATGTGCAGGTTACTCATATGAAAACTGGAAAGGAGGTAACAACATATATGAGTTATCTCTGTTACTAAATTTTTAAGACATTTCTCTGTAATTACTATTGATTTATATATCTGAAGATAATTTTTCAAAATATGTTAGATCAAAGAACACCCAGTGATCAAAGCTGAAACATAAAGTGGATAAAAATACTTGCAAGCACATATATAGCAAAAAGTTGATATGACAGAATGAAAGAGGTGTTATATTTTTGAGAATAAAAGACATACCAAAAAAATCAATTATAGTCAAAATATTCCTGAATGCACTTAACAAAGGAGAAAATATTCAACTGTCACATAAATATACAAAGAAGATTATTAATAAATATTACTAAGAGAAGTTAATACTAAATCCAATTCACTACTGCATACCTATCAAGAAGGAAAATATAAAATATATTTATATAAATATAAAATATAAAATAAAAAGTTGGTATATATATATATATTTATACACACACACATACATACACACACATAACAAACATGTTAATTTATTGGAATTGTCAAACCTTTCTATTTGCCATACAAAATATTAGAGCCTTGTAGAAAATTGGTTTGTTACTACATACATAGGCATACCTTAAAATGCTTTTACAAATAGCTGCCACTACTGCTTTTACCCCCAAAATAGACAGTGTCTACCACTACCTTTCACTGTCCTGGACGCCTACATCAGGATCCTGGTAACCAAGATTCTCATTAGCCTTTGACCAGTCCTATAACAATGTCAGAGAAAAGCATAGGGAATGTGGCCTAGTTGAGAACAAAGGATCTGAAAGAGGAAACAGTGGAGGAAAAGGCAAACTGAACAGAGCCAAAGAAAAAGGGTGAGGAGAAGAAAATGCATCTGAGGAGGAAGAAGAGACTGCTGATGGTGTATTAGATGAGAAAAAAAGATGGAACCCAAATGGAAGAAGACAGGAAATATTGTGACAGCATAATACTTATGCCAGTGACTTCATATTTAGAAATTCCCCAAAACCAAGAATTAATGGTGTCATGGTGTAATAAAACAAGTGTGACACACATCTGTTCTTAGAGATCTAACGGAGATGTAATAGTCTTTTTTTTCTTTCACCAGCATGTTTCCCAGGGCAGTAAATTTAGTGTTTAGAGCTTGTTTTAAAACCATAAACAGGGTATAAATATGGCTTAGTACAAATATGGTGTGATATTCAGATATAATATTCACAGTTGCTTTGAAAAAAATAGCTTATTGTTTCAGGTAAAGTTCACATTAAAACAAAGTAAGCCTTGTCTCTCTCCAACCTGGTCCAGAAGTATATATTCCAAGAATCAAGCAGACTTGGATGGAGAAAATAGGTCTGCTGTCATCCACACTGAATCCCAACCCCTTTTAAAATTCAAGAACAGATATCCAGTTTATATAGTGATGTTATATATAGGGTGGTAAATATGGTTGGAGTTGTGCCTGACACAAATGTGTGGTCTTAGTTTGTGGCCAGGTGTTAGGCACAGAATGGTTGTGGAGGTTTTACAGGGTAGATGCTAAAGAGAAGTGCATGGTTTGTGGGCTTAGATTCAGAGTTTTTATTATGAGGTAAAAGTTAGGGAATAGGGAATAGGGTTAGTGTTTTATGATCAGGAGTAGAAAACCTAGGTCAGTGTCAGGATCATACCAAGTCTTCTTAGAACTCAGTATTTCTGAGATACTATTTTTTATAGTATGCTAACCTTGACTACCACCTCTTATGACCTGCTCTGTAGTGCTACTCCCCTTGTCTCACATATTCTTGTATACCCCTGTATCACATCCCTTTTGTCCTCTGGTGTACCTTCCACTCTCCCTCCTTTTACCAACTCTATATTTCCCTCAACCTTCTCTGCTCATTTTCTCCTGATTGACACTCCACCAGAAATATTCATCTCTAGCTGAATAGCCCTACAAAATCTCTTTTCATCTTCCCACTTAGTCCTCCACCACCTCATTTCACAGCTTTCCTTGTAGTCCTCCACCACCTCCTTTTATGGGTGCATAAGTAGTATTTTACCATCTTCTCTTGGGACTTCTTTGTAGCTGATTCCATCTTAAGATTGCAAGCCATCTCATCACAAAGTCATGCAAAATGTATTTCTGTTTTACTATAAAATACTAAGATTTCTGTTTGACCTTACCATAATTTGATGTTTTAAAACTTGCTTGTGATTCTTGCCCATTCTTTGAACTTACCCATGCCCACCTCTCCCTGACTTTTTACTTTTATTTTGTCCATTTATTGATTCTGGGTTTTTATTTTTCTTGTGCTCTCATAGTCTTATTAGAGACATTGGGACCTAAACCCACATGATGAATATAAAGAATTGTACTCAGCAATAAAAGAGAATAAAATCATGGCATTTGCAGGTAAATGGATAACATTGGACAAGAT